ACTGAATTTAAATATTTCTTTTGAAAAACATTCATAAAATCCTTTACAGTGTTAAATATACCTCCATTGCTGTGTGGAAGTAATCCCACTATTGAAAACTACACGCTTTTGCAGTTGTGTGAACGATATTTCTTGGGGCCTGTTATCTGTGAATATCTTTGAAGAATGCAAACTGAAACATAACTGTTAGTGAGTAATTATTATTAAACAAACAATACCCAATTTTCATACCAGGCAACTGTTGCCAACAAGATGTGAGGAGTTTATCTTCATTTGTGTAGAAGGAAGCAGTGGGGACCACAGGGACATTTCTGACATCGCACACATGAAGTTCCACACTACACTGCCTGAGCAGATACAGGAAACTGCATTCAGGGAGTCAGGTCAAGGAACATTGCAAGATAACAACAAAACCACAAAAATTACAGAAGAGGTAATAAAAATCCTGAAAAACACATTAAGAATTAATGGAGGTAGTAGAGGACAAGAGCAGTAGAGGACAATTTAAAATGTAACAGTGAATCTTTTCTTATTTAAAAATATACGAGCTGCAAAACATTGTAAGGTGGGCATGGAGTGTTTTGGGGTTGGCATATACCTTACTCAATATTACTTTTATACATTCCATCGTACTGCGATGCATGGTGTGGTGTGGTTATGGGGAGTCTATCACCAGTTGCCAAGCTAAACCTTCCTAATACTGCAGTGCAGAGAAGAAAGAAAGCAGGGGACGGTAAAGTTGAGCACCAGAGCTCCAACTTTGGGGTCAAACCGTTGTCCCCCAAAAGTACTTAACCAAAAGAAACACTAAAAGCACCAGAACTGAGGCTCTGGAACCATGAATTTGTTTTGTTCCATTCACCATTCCTATGGGAAACATGAAGAGGGGACCGCTTTGGTAACTAGTAACATTCCTAGGTCTCTATGGGATCTTAATGCTTCTCTGGCTCCCAGCAGATTTTTGAACAGTTTGACTTCTTACCTGGGATCTGGCTCTCTGAAGGCTGTAGGGGAGTTGCGCCTGGCAGACACCAGGTAAGATGTCAAACAATTCTAAAATGGTTTAACTTCATACATAATGCACTGTCATGATTATGCGACTTGGAGTGTTTTCCTTAAAGTTTTTATGGAGGTAGGAGTTTTCTTTTAGAAGAGATTTGAGAACCAATGTTTATTGTGCAAGAAGGGAGCTAGCAAACTCTCACAATGTTTCTTCCAATGGCTTTTCATCTGCTAATGGTACAAGTGGCTCCTGCCCCACAAGTCCAGAGGAAGATGTAAACTATGAATAGTGGTTTATTAAAGGATCACTATAGTGTCAGGAAAATAAACTAGTTTTCCTGACACTCTCATCCTTAAGTCCCCCCCACCCTCAGGGTCAGTGGCGTACATACCAGGGTCGCAGGTATGTACCCACAGGGCCAGCCTCTTCTCCTGGGGGGCCCAGGAGGTGGCCACCTCAGGGCCCCCCGAGGCTGGCCCTGCTGACCCCGGCGGGCGGGCTGGCTGTCCGGCGCGCGAGGGAGCACTCTCCCCTGAGTGCTTCCTCTTCCGCTCCCTCGCGCACCGCACTGATACCGGAACCGGAAGATGACGTCATCTTCCGGCTCCGGCATCCCTACGCGGCGCGCGAGGGAGCGGAAGAGGAAGCACTCAGGGGAGAGTGATCCCTCGCACGCCGGCCACCCAGACAGCCAGCCCGCCCACCCAGGAGCCCAGCAGCACCACCACTGGACCCCAGGGAATCCCCCCAGCACTTCAAAAGGTAAGGAGGCTGGGGGGATTAAATAAAAAAAAAAACATGTGTTAGTGTGTGTGTTAGTGTTAGTGTGTGTGTGTGTGTGTTAGAGTGTGTGTGTGTTAGTGTGTGTGTGTTAGTGTGTGTGTTAGTGTGTGTGTGTTAGAGTGTGTGTGTGTGTTAGTGTGTGGGTGTTAGTGTGTGTGTTATTGGGTGTGTCTGTTATTGGGTGTGTCTGTTACTGAGTGTGTCTGTTACTGAGTGTTTCTGATGTCTGTTAGTGAGTGTGTGTTTGTCAGTGAAAGTGTATGTTTTGTAAGTGAGTGTGTATGTATGTCTGTCGCTGAGTGTGTCTCTGTCAGTAAATGTGTGTGTCTGTTAGCTAGTGTGTATGCGTCTGTTCGTGAGAGTGTGTGTCTTCAGCATTTACCTTCCTCCAGCGCCGGACTTCCTTGGCGCTGGGGATCCCTCCGCCTCTCAGATCCGAATGCACATGCGCGGCAAGAGGCGCACGCGCGCATTTAAACCGCCCATAGGAAAGCATTACTCAATGCTTTCCTATGGACGTTCAGTGTCTTCTCACTGTGATTTTCACAGTGAGAATCGCGGAATCTCCTCTAGCGGCTGTCAATGAGACAGCCAGCAGAGGCTGGATTAACCCTCAGTGAAGCTATGTTTTCAGCTGCAGGGTTAAAACTAGAGGGACCTGGCACCCAGACCACTTCATTGAGCTGATGTGATCTGGGTGTCTGTAGTGGTCCTTTAGGTGTGTGTGCAGCATACCGCGGTCGCGGGGTCGCAGCCCTGCGACCAGGTGCCCGCCGCCATGTGATGCGGCCCCGACCCGCGCTGAGTAAGCGCGCGGGGGGGGGCCCACGGATCAATTTTTGCACAGGGGCCCCATGGGTCATATGTACGCCACTGCTCAGGGTCCCCCTCCCTTGGGGCTGAAGGGGTTAAAGCCCCTTCAGCCACTTACCTTAATCCAGAGCCGAGCTCCTTCGGTGCTGATGACCTCTCCTCTCCCGCCGACGTCAGCTCCCGAGTGGAGCAAAATTCACATGCATGGCAAGAGCTGCGCACGCATTCAAACAGTCCATAGGAAAGCATTTCTCAATGCTTTCCAATAGACGTACTGCACGCTGGATGCAAATTTTGCATCCAGCGTCGCAGAAGCGCCTCTAGCGGCTGTCAGGAAGACAGCCACTAGAGGTTGGATGAACCCTGCTGTGTAAACATAGCAGTTGCTCTGAAACTGCTATGTTTAGATCTGAAGGGTTAAAACCTGGGGGACCTGGCACCCAGACCACTTCATTGAGCTGAAGTGGTCTGGGTGACTATAGTGTCCCTTTAATATTGAATCTACACAAGCATAAAAATCGCTTTGTCCATTAACAGGTTTTTGGCTATATATGTGTGGACTCATTAAAATGCTAAACATTATTTCAGGTATGCTGGACTGGTCTTTGCATGGGACATACAGTACGATCGACCTAAAATTCCCAGCTTGGGCAGCCATCCAACCTAATCCACTCCTTGATGCTTAGAAAATAAACTAGAAATTCTTGTATTTTTAAAGCTGCGTTTGACGGTAACTGGCCCAGACAGTACAATAAATTTGCATTTCATTACTATTTTTTTGCTCCCCGAAAAGACTATTTAAACCACATTTGTGCAAGTTAATGCAGCACCTTTAGTGAATTGACATTTACATGTGTTTTTTACAAAAATATTTATGTGCAACTATCAATGTTTCCCTTTGAGAGAAAAAAAAAGGTTTCAAGCTGCCTGGAGAAGTCCTTCACTAGTACAATACAGTGATATAAATCAGTATTACCGATCTGATAAGCTCACTAAGTACTAATCAATATGAAGAAGTAGCTCGTCTTTTTCACATTTTCCTAATCATAGTTTATTGATCAGATCCACTACCTTTATACAAAGCTTCAAATATATTATACATGTGCAGCTTAGAAAAGTTTTCTTGTAGCACAACAATAATTGTCATTCCCCGACGGCAGATGGCTTGGCATTCTAAATCTGTTTCATGTTAACTACATAACATTCCGTAACTCAGGCAACTGACCTCTCGCTGCTGTGTGCCAGAGATAACACTGGCAACTGGCGGTCCTTCCGCTCAGCCTGTAAAATTGGTGAGGGCAAAGCTCAAACATGGCAATTTGAGCCTTTCAGTCACTTATACCACGTGACAGTCATGTCTCCCTTAATTGCCTAATCAGCCAAAACACATTGCTATGGAAGACTGTGATCGTGTGGCCCTGAGGGGCCCTTGGAAGTTGTATTATTTACCGATGTTAGTGCTGGAATGCAGAGAAACGGACATGGATATAGGCAGCATTCCCAAAAATAAACAGAACATGAGCAATGGAAAGAAAATAATTTGGAATAAAAGTACTTTTCTAATTATCTGTTGTCTGATTTGTATACTCTGTCAGAGTCAATGTAGCCCCAACCCTACCCTTACATTTGTACTAACTCTATTTCAGGGGTATTAGCAGGAGATGGCAGCACAAATAGCTGGTAAATCTGTTGTGTGCTGAATAATAATACCCATACTCCATGCTGCCCCTTCAGTGATTAGCTTGGGGACACTACCATTAGCAGGGCAATCCTCATGCTCATGCCAACATCAGCACATTGTCATCAGTGCGTGGTATATTCAGTGCCAGTGCAAGAATTTTTGCCGCCCGAGGCTAAAGAAAAATGTGCCGCCCCCGCCATGTGACATCACAATGCCCCACCCATATGATCTGCCATATGAACCAACGCCTGTGCTGCACACAGTGTGTGTTTACATTAAAAAGCCTGCAGAGACAGGCTATAGACACCAGAACCACTTCATTAAGCTGCCGTGGTTTTGGGGACTATATTGGCCCTTTAATGTGAGGTAAATCAGAGATCAGTGCCACAAATAATATACTAGATTGCCTACTTACAACCAGATGAGGATGATGACGGGCTCTGGCTGCAGTCTGGCTCCACTGGTCTGGTGTAGAACAGGATCTCTGGAAGCTGTTTGTAACTGTGGTCCCAAAATTCAATGTTCTGGGAAAACGGGAAGCAGCTCCATTTTTTGGGGCCCCTTACACAGCTCAAGGTCTGGGCCCCCTGGATGTGTTATGAGTTATTGTAGAGGATCTAATGTGTGTGTTTATGGAATGTAGTGTATAGGGATACCAGTTAGTGTAGGTAATGCAGTGTGTGTGTAGTGGAAGCAGTGTGTGTGTAGTGGAAGGGATAGAAAGCAGTGTGTGTTTGTGTGTAAGGGATGTATTGTGTGTTTCTGGTTGTGTGTAAGGGATGCATTGTGTGAATCTGTGTTTGCATGCGTAAGGGATGCAAGGTGTGTTTCTGTGTATGTAAGGAATGCAGTGTGTGTGTGTGTCTGTAAGGGGTGCATTGAGTGTTTGTAAGAGATGCATTGTGTTTGTTTGTGTGTAAGAGAAACAGTGTGTGTTTGTGTTTGTGTGTGTGTGTGTGTAAGGGATGCATTGTGTCTTTCTGTGTATGTGTGCAAATGATGCATTGTGTGTTTCTCTGTGTGTAAGGGAAGCATGTTGTGTTTCTGTGTGTGTAGGGATGCATTGTGTGTTTCTGTTTATGTATAGGGATGCATTGTGTGTGTGTGTGCGTAGTGTGAAAGAGAGAGTTTTTGGGGTAGGATAGAGGCTGAGTCCTACCAGCCCCTTTGTGCTTCTTCCTTCCCCCTTCCCTAGCCTCTCTCCTCTAGACTACCAGACAAACTGTGGAGTTACTGGGTGGTCACCAGTTCATGTATCAGTGGCACACGGTGAGAACGATGGATGGCGGCCATTTTAACTCACAGACACTGTTTTGACTTTTCTACACTGTGCCATCTCGCCGGTATTTGGTGTACAGTCATCGTTCAGTAGTTTTAAACTACAGAACAGGGAACACATTTAACAGTAATTATTTTTCATACAGCCTGTATATGTTCTGCGGAATCTGCATTAAACCGTATTTTCCAAACTACTGAACAGATCTGGGTGAATTTTGGATATGTGGTTCACCCAGATCCCTCGGTTCCGGGGATATATTATGCGGTTATTGCATGTTTTGTGGTCCCTGTGACCCTGCTTCCTAGCCTGCTCCGAGGAACCATCATGGTGAGGGTTCTCCTGACCATCCTCACTTAGGGAGTATTTTTTCTACAGGCAAAATGATAAATGATCGCTTGGGAACCTATTAGTAGAATTGAATAACCAGCAACTTTCTTAAATGGTGAAACATAATATCAGAGGCAGATCCAGGAACCAGTCTAGGGAGGGACACTGGAAGACTAATTGTCTGTGTATATATATATATATATTTAATAATATTTGGTATGTCTGGCACTCACCCTACTTCTTAAAAATATAGAAGCATAAACCAAGGTGCAGCACAGCGCTGAAAATATATCCAATACAAAAAATGAGCGCACTCACTGGATTAAAAAAAATTTAATTAGTGTATTGCATTTCCACAAACCAGATCAACGTTTCGACCTTATGGTCTTTATCAAGATCTTAATTAGTTATAATGTCCAAATGGTAGCACAACCTTTTTTATGCCAGGGTGCTCAGCCACTAGCTATTCCATGTTTAGTATGACTGTACATCTATATCTCTATCTCTATATTGTAAGGTGCAATTTACAACTTGTATGTGTCCACATTGTGCTGTACACTACAAAGTGGTATTTGTGAGTGAGACTTACAATGCTCCCTTATTCCTCTTTGTTGCTCGCTGGCTGCTAGCTTTGTCAGTGTGGCAGCACTCGGCAGTCTCAAATTTGGCAAGTTGACTGCACCAGCAACCAATACAGTGCAAGGGGAAAAAAACATTAATAATGTTTTAGGCAATCTGGTTACAATGCCAGGTATGTGCTGCAGCTCACCATGACATTTTGTGATGTGCCAGTCTGGCCTTAGTTGTGGATATAGAGCAGGTACAGCTGGAATGCTACTAGTTAGCCACTGCTAATCTGTTCAATATCACTCATTCACCAGTGTCTGCCCTCTGGCCTATATTTTAACTACTAGTATACATTATTAGAAATCAAGGCTATTTAACTACAGGCAAATGGGCCAGATATAGCCAGCAGGGTTATGGTGTGGTCCCAAACATTCTTCTAAAAATCTGTGGATTATAATGTAACAGTGTTTCTTAATCCCTGGATTGGAACCTAAAGAGTATCATCGTACCATGTTAGTGTCTCCCATATGGCTGATACATACAGTATGCTACATTTTAGGACTCAGGCACCTGCCTATAATAAACCATTTTATTATAAATCATAGCAGCATTGCCTTCACAGACCATACTTTTGCAGGGTGTGATGGAACCTCAACACAAGGAATATTGTGTGTCACAGTGCCATCTATAGGTAGAACATTCCTAGTCACCATATAGGTTTCCATATATCTTGCATGTATATTTTGCATAGTGTGGCAAGATAGAACATTGAGTTCTTATGGTTCCCCACACCTCTTGTCAGAGTCACGTGTTATGGTTGTACTGTTGTCTGTATATTTACTATGTATTTATATTGAGTGTGTCACCACAAGTGAAGAGTAAAGTCCCTAGAGACTAGTTCTGGTTGAAATAAAGATTTGGCGGTAGTCGTTCGGAACTGTGAGTCTTGCCTGCTATTTTCAGGAATTGCAGTATTTCTGACTGCACTGTTTCCTTATACCAGGGACTTTATAGCAATAACCAACGCCTGTGACATGCAAGTGCCTTAGTAAATGCAACATTTGGGTGCAGAACAGGCAGAGGGATCTATACCTGCTGAAACGTGGCGGGGGGGAGTTGGTTTCTGGTACTCCTTACAGGAACACTAAAGCATTATGAATACAAACCTGTATTCTTAACTCTTTAAAGGACCACTATAGTGCCCTGCGGGTGCCCCCACCCTCAGGGTCCCACTCCCGCCGGGCTGAAGGGGGAGGAAGGGGGTTAAACATTCACCTTTCTTCAGCGCCAGGCTTCCTCTGCGCTGGGGGCTCTTCTCCTCCTTCCGACGTCATCGGCTGAATGTGCATGCAATGCAGTTGTGTAATAGTATTGAAGGTCACTGTGTGTTTATGCAGGTTGTGTTTGTGTGTTGTCTGTCCCCTTTTCCCTAATAAAGCACTTCTCCACATCTACTCCTTTGTATATTTCTCTATCCCACACTATTCCGTTACTTTGTCCTATCAGTGTCCATCGCCTCATACGCCTCTCCCTCCACTTGTCTCCCTTTGCCCTCACTCATGCTTCCCTCACTTGCATCCCTCTACATATATCCCCCTTTCCCTCAGTTGTGTCCCTTTGTCCATACCCCTTTTCCCAACTTGAGTCTCTCTGTTCCTAAACCTCTTATGTCCCTGTACATACAAACTTTATCTGTCTCAGTTTCTGTTCAGCCCTCCCGTTTGCCATCTTCAATCACTTTTGTTCCCCTACCCATACCACCTTGTGTCCATCTGCCCACATCCACTTCACCTGTGTATCTATCCATCACCATAACCCCTTTCTCCACCTGAGTCTCTCTGTACATACCCTTCAACCACTTTATTACTTCTTCTCATTACCCCCTTTCACACTAAATTTCTCTTTCCCTGTACTACTTGTGGCCTCTGCTTATGTTGTATGCAAATGACAGAGATATAGCATTATATTCTATTATATTCATGGCAGAGTATTCTCACTGACAAGACTGTTACTTGCCAGTTTTACCAAAAGAGTGATGGTGCAATCCAGTGCTCCTCATAGAGCAGCATTGAGGACCTGATGCACATGTGTGGCAAGCACTGTGCAGACACCAATGTTTTCTACATAGGAAAGCATTGAATCAATGCTTACCACCACAAGGCCCAGTTTTTTTCAGAACTGCATCGGATTCTACAAAAGAAAATGTCAAGCTCAAGCCCAGCAGGGTATAAAGCAGGTCTATCAAAAGATAAAGAGAACATCACTGAACAATCTGGTCAAAGCCAAAGGAAAAGCAGCTGGAGGAAAGAGAATTATGGGCTGATTACTGAATGAATGTAGGGAGATCAGGACAATAGCAGGTTGATGTGCTCTGAAAGGTATTTTAGCTGAGAGCCGAGACACCAGTACTATGGCTCCAACCCACCTCACAAAGTTGTGACCCAAAAGATAGACCAGATAGCCGAGGATGCAAAAAATCGGATTTAACAAGTGGAGATACAGAGCACAGAGGAAGTTCTCCTATCAACCTTGTAAGACTTTTGATGAAACTGAAGTAGATAGTAATGGCTTCCGAACGCAGCATACCCTGCATAAGTTGAGCCCTGAGGATTAAGTAATTGTACTATCAGGCAAGCTCACTAGAAGATCACCAGAGGCATACTGGGCTGTTGCAGACAGTTTAAGCAGAGACTATGTTGCAGTGAAGGAGCATCTTCTGGCCATAATCGCAGAAGTCTACCAAAGAAAATTCATGGAGAATTGTTCAAAGGACTCAGGACTCCTACACTGGGCTGGTTCCAACTGGTGGCAAGGATGGCAGGGATCACAAGTTGGTAAGGTGGAAGTTGTGGCTGGTACTCCTGGAACACTTTGCTTGAGCTCCAGGAGTGGATCCGGGATCAAACAACATGTGCCATGGATGAAGCAGCACAGCTGTCCGACAAGTATACAGATGCATGGAGAGACTTCCTACTGCCCAGTGGACAATGCGGGTTTGGTACCCACCTGGAAAGATGAGCACATGCAGAGGGGATGATACCTGCCTGGAAGGTGCTGGTGTTCCCTGGCAATGGAGGAGAAGGGACTGACCATGTAGCAGGACAGGGAGCAGTCCACCCCCCAAGTGAAGAATGGATCTCTGAGTTCTTTTTACAATTGAAGAATTGGCTAGCTAATACTATAAATGTAATATTGCACTGTAAACTACTACATGAGTGCCAATCAGGCACATCTCAATGAAACTTCAAGCATTAAATCAGAATGTGCTGGACTACCACTCCCAACATCAATAACCAGTCAGGGCCTACCTACAATCATTTTGAAAGTCACATGTGGTTTATTATTGACCTTTTTCAAACCATCCTTCTTTTGTAATCTCTATCAGCTGCCAGAGGGGAACATTAAGGGCCCCTTTCAGTTTCCGCTGAGATTTAATTTGATCTGAATGCCATTATTGTTATTACAGATATGCAACATCAAATATGTCATTAAGAGATAGTTATCCATGAATGAATGTCTGCTAGCGACAGTCATAAAAATGAATTTAAAACGCAGTTATCTGAAAATGAGGGTCATTGCCAGTTATAATTCAATAATAAGCAGCAGAGTGTTTTTTATTGCTTGTGATCTTTCTCACACATTGACTAATTGTGTCTTTCCACACTTTCATGGTGTGTCTAGCTATGTACATACATATCCTAAAGACACCGCTAACGAAGTGTTTATAGAGCCAAGTATGGTAACAGAGCCTGAAACAAACGCATAATTTTAATGTACAGTCATTCCATCATCATTTATTATGGCTCTTGTCACATACCAATAATAGTCATGTTATTCCGCACTATAGGTTGTTGCATGCTGCCATCTAGTGGTACAACATGATAAGAGCTAGTCATACTTCCCAAGCATGTTTTTTTAATTGCTCTGACAATTTCTGAAACTGTAAACTTTGCTTTTACAAAGCAAAGAATATAAACTATTAACTTAGGAGACACAATTACAGTGACAATGATTTAATTCAACAATATTTTTTTTATTAATATTTCTTGTTTTGATATTACTATTAATGTTTGTTTGATTATTTATTAATAAAAAAACAGAGGTCTCACTATTCTAACCAGCCCTGTGCATTATATGTCTTTATTTAGTGCAGATTTTCTAAAAAAATAATATATATATATATATATATATTTTTTTTTAAAGTTATAACCTAAATTTTTTAAAATGAAAAAATAGTTTTATCTGGTGCGCTTTTGGTGAAATACAAGCTCCATGTACTTTTTTGTACTAAGAATTTAAGTTATACTTTTGTACCAATAACATCTAGTGGGAGTTTAAAGAATGTCCGATGGTTTAAACAGGGCCCTCAGCACCCTCTGTTCCTGTGCGTCCAACTTGTCTTCTTGCAAATAGTCCACCTATTGTACAACGCTGCAGAATTTGTTGGCGCTTTATAGATAAACATCCTGCAACATGAAGACAAAGGTGTTTTCAAAAGGTTAGAATATCTAGAGAAGACTTAACTTTTATTGAATATCAACTAAAAATCTCAAATATCAAAAATGAAACAAAATACCGTTAATTAAAATAAAGGTGAGATAACCTGCTTCGTGTTGGGGGATGTACTGAGCCCAATAGTTGCTAAAGCCTAATACTCGGGGAACAAGACGAAATAAAGTTATTTCAATAATCTCCCTGTAGCACTAAAAACAGTAAGGGCTACTATACAAAGTCAGTGAATATATGGGTTACCCTCACAATTAAAATGGTTTGCTTCAGAGCAAAGTGGTGATACCTAGGTTAATCAAAACTCACAGTATGAGATAATTCTCAGAGGTATCCAAAGGATCTTGGCTATAAAGGATATGAAGCAAACTAACCATTATGATGCGTAAACGGGAGAACACGGATGCTAAAAACCTCAAAAGGACTGACAGATACTGTTGCAGCTTGTTAATGTAACAAAAATATATTTTAGATCACTTATATATCATATGAACACTAAATAGCAACCATGTAACCAAATCCACGTGCATCTGAGATTGCTTGCTATTGAAACAGATAGTTGTTCCTAAAGAATCCATACCCTGCCTGCAAGGGCACCTAACCGCAGTAAATAAGTATCTAGAGGTCCATAAATCCCTGTGTACTGCACTCAACCCATTAAAAAAAAAAAGAAAAAAAAAACACACAAAAAGCCATTAGTGGTACATCCCTATATGCACAGTGACATACTATTTCAAATTCACCTGAGCCCGTGACGCGTGCTTTTTGCCAGTGAAGGCTCATCAGAGCCTTCCAATGCTCTCACCACTTGATAAATAATCATAATAACAAAAAAAGAGATGTAGTTATACAAAGTATTTGGGAAGCATCTGCCATAAAATATCCTCGTTAGTAAAGGGCAACTCTACTGCTTCTTGGCCCATGTAGAACTTGCTAATCCCAGAACCACCTTCTATCATTCTCTCAATTTTCAGAGAGTTGCAGACGCTTCAGTCTTGCATCTTTTATTGACGCACATATTGACTTGAGCGTCAATCTGCATCTGCACAAGCATACCTTTTAGAGACACTGAGAGGGGTGACATCACAGGTTGGACCTTTTTAAACTCTCAGATACTGGCCTACAGCATTAATTGTTCTTGGTTCTTGAACCCAAAAGTACATTCTTTTTCTGGGTAAATTGATTTCTTACATTGCCCTTGTATGTGACTATTCTGACCCGGCTATTAATTCCTTTATTATGTGCCTCCTATATCCTAACCTCTGGCTAATTTTAGATCTGTTACATGGTTCTGCTCTGACAGTGACCTCCCGGTAGCCCACTTTGCTAAAGGTCTCGGCAACCATGATAGTTAAAAGGACTGTCAAAGCAGATTTTTTGTTATGTGACTAGACGGATATATGAGCAGTCTCTCCTTTTAAAGTATTTGGAGGAAAAAAAGTTAAACTTCCTCATTATCTCAACTGATATTTGTGTAGTGTGATCATCAGGTAGGGACTGGCTAAACACATGCACAATACGTCTTCTTGGCCCTTTCGTACTCTGGTGTCCCACTTATGGAGACACCAGAGACAAGTAACAAGCAAACAAAGCATAAGTGTGTCATTAGATTTGCTTGTGCTGCACAGAACAAATACAGGGCCTTTTTCCCATGCAAGACCTCTGTTCTGAAAAAGCATTGAACCAACATGCTCACTTTGAGTGTGCTCTTCATGGGTGCTCTTCATGCTCTCTACCACGGCTAGACTGTCCATGTTTAGCCAATTCCTAGGCTGGGCAAGCATGTGTGGTTTGCGGAGCTCCGTGAGGGTACAGGCGCTCTAGGGGGAGGTGGATTCAGCCCCAGGCCAGCGTGGAGGTCAGCATCTCTGCACCATGGACTCGGAGGACATGAGGGTCCAAGTCCTTCACGGTTTGGGAGCAACCGAAGATCCAGTTGTTCTGCAGCTGTCTGCGGTGGGTGAGGTCTACTGGCTCTGTGGGCAATGCTCCGGGGTCAAACTCCTTGTGGACTTCGGCCCAGGTAGGCTTGCGGTAAGGTGTATGTGCGCTTGTGGGAAGTTGTGCCTGGGGAGGATCCATTCCACCCACGGCCCTCATCTCTCTCCACCTTCTCGTAAGGCTGACAAGGCATTTGACATTTGCGCTTCTCCAGGCTTGACCAAAAGTGTAGAAAAATCAAATCTAGTCGTCTGTTAAAGTGCTCCATAGAGCTGAGGGGGTTTCCATGTGGCAGCACAGTAGTAGCCTCTGAAGACTGTCTGCCATTTTGTTTAGGCCACCGTCGCGCTCGTCTGAGGTCAGCTGTGGTAAGTGCGCTGAGCCTGTGGGGAACGGGATAACCCCCACTGGTCCAAAGGGGGAAGAGTTGGGACCTCGTAGTACTGGGATGTGTATGAGGATGGAGCTTTACACAGGTCGGGAGAGCGGCAGTTTCTCCTGTCTGGCGAGTCAACCAGGCCTCACTTAAACCTTAGGGGCACGGAAAGGTAGGAACACCATAGTTGTAGTCTAAGGTAGCCCTTTCAGGTCCGCTTAATGGCAGGATACACAATGCGTTGGCTCAGTCAGCTTGGGGTTGATATTTTGGCGAGGAGCACTCGCAAAATGCGTCCAGCCGCCATGAGGCACAGGTCCCACTGCTGGGCCAAGGTGGGTCTTACCCCAGATGCAGTTACTTGATTAAAGGACTTCAGATATTATACGGGGTTATTCACTAAAGTGAGAATTTAAAGTAAATTTCAATTCAAGACCAATATTGCTGAACTGGAATAAGTCTTTAAGGCAGCTATGTTATCAGTTCAGCTACTTTGGCCTTAAATTTACTTTGAATTCTCACTTTAGTGAATAACACTGATAATCCTTTATACAACAGTATATACACTGATCAGCCACAACATTATGACCACATTATCATTATTTTATTATTTATCTAGCGCTGTACAACGGGTGCACTAACAGACAATTTTAACCAGACAAATGGACTCACAGGAACAGAGGGGTTGAGGCCCTGCTCACTGAGCTTACATTCTAGTGGAGTGGGGTATAGTGGTGATACAAAGGGGTAATGAAATAGGTTGCTAGAAAAGTATTCACTGAGGGCGTAGTAGGTTATTTTTGAGAGTTGCAGGAGAGAAGTCATGGGGTGAGGGGAAGAATGAAAACCTGCTAACAGTTTAGATGATATGCTCTCCTGAAGAAGTGAGTTTTCAAAGATTTTTTTAAAGGAGTGGAGACTGGGTGAAAGTCTAACAGAGAAAGGAAGGGAGTTCCACAGACAAGGTGCAGCCCTGTAGGTCCCCCTTGTGCTGACTCTGATGGGTCGAGGCATGATCTCCTGAAGACCTTTGAAATGTTTCTCATGGTATCTGGCACAAAGACATTAGCAGCAGAACCTTTAAGTCCTGCAAGTTGCGAGGTGGGGAATTTGAAAGTCAAGGAAACTTTGGGAACTCTTTGTCATGTTCCTTACATCATTACTGAACAATTTTTGCCGTGTCCTGCTGAAAGAGGCCACTGCCATCGTGGAACACCATTGCCATGAAGGTGTGTACGTGGTCTGCAACAATCTCTAGGTAAGTGGTACATCCATCCACATGAATGCCATGACCCAAGTTTCCCAGTAAAACATTGCCCAGAGCATAACACTGCCTCCATCAGCCTGCCTTCTTCCAGTAGTACCCTAAGTAAGCAATGCACACTCAAGTGGCCATCCACTTGATCTTAAAGACAACTTATCTCATCAGACCATGCAACCTTCTTCCATTGCTCTATTATCCAGTTCTGGCACTCACATCCCCATTGACCCCACTTTTGATAATTACGAACCACTGCATACAAGGAACACCCCATAAAGACTTGCTTGTTTGGAGAAGCTCTGACCCAGTCGTCAAGCCATCACGAATTGGCCCTTGTCAAAGTCACTCAGATCTTTATGCTAGCCCATTTTTATTGATTTCAACACATTCAATTTTAGAATCGATTGTTCACGTGTCACTTAACATTGAATGAGGGTCCCTAGGCACCCACCACCCTACCTCCCATGGATGTATGGTTAAGGCAGATAAGGCTTAGCAATATCAGTAATTGCTGGCAGTGATGCACAGACTGATTATATGACCCTCTCTTATCCCTTAATCTAGAAGTATTGGTCTAAATAGCAGAGCATGATCAGCCTGCGGTCATCTAGGGACACTCATTCAGTGATAAACTGTTTGAAAATGGTGAAAGTTGATTACGCATAACAGAGCATTTGGTAGACAGACAGATGTCACTTTAGTTCTATACATCTATAGTACTTTCCATACGTTTACTTAATATAATTGTATGTTGTATGTTTGTGCTTTATGCATTGTATCATCTCAGCTCTGTCTTTTAATTATAATTAATCATTTTGCTTTTTCTACTTACTGTGCTGTCATTTCTGAACATTGCAATAAAACAATATGAAAATAAAATGCTCTGATTTTGGATAGCTACCTATTCAAAAGCTTATAAGAGCACATTCTCTTTTGGAGTTTCACCGAATGAATGCTGTCTAAACAATGTGTTCATTTTTTGCTTTAAAGGTTCTTTAAAGTTAAGCATGTCTTCCAGAAATTCTATGTGGTTATTCACCAAAGTGAGAAGTCAAGGTCAGTTCCAGGTGAATTTCAAATTTAAGGTCAAATTAGCTGAATTGGAAACTTTGTAGGTCACCTGTTTTTCAGCTCGGCTACACTGGCCTTAAATTTGAAATTCACATTGAATTCTCACTTTATTAAATAACTCTACCAGAGGTGGTAAAGCCACCTTTGGGTGGGCATAATTTTTTTTAAACTTGTCCTCGTTTGTATTATTATTTAAAAGCAAAAGAGGTATATATCAATACCTGGGGTTTAAGCCAAAAACTAGATTTGATGAACCAAAGTTGGACGTTAATATGATATAAAATAAATATATCCACTGGTGATTGTGCAGGCGGCTGTCCTGCAATGTACATATCACAGTAACCTGCTGGTAGACTACCAAGTTAAATACCTGCTTGTGCCGAGCATCTACCTGTGTAAGATTAGAAATTGTTAAAAAAAAAAAAAAGAAAAAAATCTAAACTTCTTAGGAAAAAAGTATTTTATACAGGTGTCTGAAGGGCGTTGGTGGTGTGGTGGTGTGATGGTTTTATAGGGGGGAGGCTGGCCTCTCCCTCACCTTCCCTTATCAGCCTCGATATTGAGAAGGCATTCGATAGCATCACTTGGCAGCATTTGATACGCGTACTTAAACTACGCTACTTCGGACATATCTTTGTGGCCTTTGTTAAAAACTTACAACACAACCCAACCGCTTGCAGCACGACAAATGGATTAGACTCCATATTTCATGCTGGGACGAGGGGTACGGAAGGAATGCCCCTTATCACCACTACTATTTAACCTAGCCATAGATCCCTTGTTGTGAGCCATTTAATCACTACCGGGCTACAGGGTTATTCCCCTGGGGGATGTCACTATGATGGTCTCGGCTTTTGCCGACAACCTTCTCCTATATACCTCAGAGCCAGCCTCTTCCATACCACCCCTCCTTGACAAATTTATGCCCTGGCAGGACTTAGAGTTAACTGGTCGAAATTCAATACGCTACATCTGGGGAGGGGACCACCTCCTAGGCTGCCGAGGAGTGTCCCATTGAAATGGCAAGCATCGCCCTTACAATATCTAGGGATCAAGATCCCAAGGAACATTGGCCTGCTGTATAAATTAAATATTCCTCTTGTTCTCTCCTCTATTTTTAATGAATTGGAACACTGGCACAAATTGCCACTCTCTACATAGGATGGGCCAATCTCTAAACTAGTTAGTTTTCCAAAGTTACTGTACCCGCTTCAAGTACTCCGAGTCTTGCTCTCCAAAAAAGATGAATCTTTTAAACAAAAAGTTGAGGCACTTTCTTTGGCAGTGGTCGAGGGCCAGGCTGATCCTAACTAAATTTCACCAAACCAAATGCAATCTTCCAAACGCCAGTGAGTACAGTATGGTGGGTCAACTCTGGCATGCGCTCAGTTGGATCTAATCGCAGTCAAGATACTCAGATCTAGCCTTGGACTCCTTTCTGGCACAGCTGGACTCCCTACCAGTACTTTTACACAAACTACATAACCTGCTTTCAGATGATATTCACTCAAACCCTCTGGTGGCTGTCCCGATTAAGGCCTGGAAGATGGCTCGGGCCAGCTTGGGGGCGAGCCCGCTGTGTTCCATACACCTGCCTCTGCGCCGGAATCTGGAGTTCCAGGATGGATCCAACACATATCCATTCATGATGTGGTCAGGACAGGGTCTCGGGTTGTTGAGTTCCTTTGTAGATTTTGACACGCAAAAATTTACCATGGGTTCCCATAGGTTGCCTGAGGGGGCGCTTCCCAGACCTTCCCATACCCTGGTTTGCATACTTTCAAGTACGACATTATTTTTACACTAAAAGTAAACGCCTCATGGCCTCCATGAACCCAGCATTTTGCTCCATCTCTACCCTGTATGCCCTTTTACGATACACACCTGACTGGAACACACTACAAACTGGTCTGGGGAAATGGAAGATTCACTTCCCTGATATCACACCTGATACCATCCTAAACTCACACTACACTCAAAGTCAACTGCTCCCCATGGTTTCTTATCGAGACATGTTCCTGAAAACCACACATTACACATATTTTACCCCACATAGACTACATCTCATGGCAAGGAAGGACTCCTCTACCTGCTTTAAATGCACCCGCACCAAAGCGGATATCCATCACTGTCTGTGGGAGTGTCCCATGGTTCAGACCTTCTGGAGAGGTTGCGCAATACTTAACAAACAAAAATAAATCCCAGTTTCCTATTATTGGGACCCATTCATGGTGACCCTGTGCCTAATAGACGCTTCTCTATGATCATAGCAGTGGTGAGCCACAAACCCATTCAGGTTTGGAACCAGCTGGGTACTCCACCACTTTATTCTTAGCCAAACTCAAATTTCTTTTTAAAATAGGTTGGCTTCACACCCTAGCCAAAAAGGAACATCTGGTAAAAATATTTTCCTCACGTGGAAATGGTATAGTTCTACCCTGGACACCTCCTTCCAATCTAGAATTAGAGCAACTTTGGAGTACACAGTGTGGTTCTTGACCGAGGTGATGGCAGGACGGGACCCATTGGGTTCTTGGGGGGGCGGGGATGTTCAGTGGACCGGTAACTGTAAATAGTTATTGACTTTTAAAAAGTCTGAAGGGAGGGAGAGGAGGGAGAAAGGGAAAAGAGAAAGACCAACATATATTAAATGTAGTAAAGTAGTGAAATTCTCATGACATTCAGTATAAAATGGCATTATGACATGTAACGCTGATTATATGGTTACTACCTTCATTGTTATACACGGTTCTTTACCTACTCAATGTAAACGGATGCTGATCACATATCACGTGCATATCACATCCTATGACAACAATACACTACCAATGACATTGAATAACACTGCAACAAACACAGCTCCGCTCCTACATAGTATGTTAAATACATTACTTTCTAAGGTTATTTGTTTTCTGTTATTGTTCTTCTTTAACTATAAAAAACTAAACTCTGGCTGAGTGCGACCAAGTTGATCACCACAACATGAAGAAATGCCTTAAGGGGCGGCGTTTGGCCACCATCTTAGATGGCCATGTTCTAGAGGAGCTCCTGGTGCATGGGGACTTTAATACACTGAAAACAACATTCAAAGCTTCAATGTGTATTAACTGAACATTGGAAGGGATACAAAAATAACTAGCAGACATGCAGAAACAAAAGAAAACTGAAAAATCTGTTCCTGTGATGCAGAAAAAAGATGTTACAACTGCTGGGGTGAGTAAGGGCTCACAGGCCCAATCACCCACCACCAAATCCGGGCCGCGGTTTATTTCACCGCTAAAATCTCCTTTTGGAGCTTCGGGAAAACCTGATTATCCCACCCACCCGTCTTTTCAAACTCGCACATATGCGAGTGCAGCCACGGCCCGCTCGTACAGCCCTCGTAGCGGCGGGACCACAGCTGCTATTGTTGCAACCTCCGTGGGCGAATCAGTGCGCTCAGAGCGCTTGGAACGCTTGGAGTGTTGAGACCAGTCTCTCGCGAGCGGCTTAACAGGCACAGAAAGCCGCTCGCGCCAAAACAATAAAATGGCTAGGTCCCTAGTATATAAAAGCGGCCGGGCCACAGAAGAAGGGAAAGGGGACGTGAGGTCACGATCTCCGTCGAGGTCCTCGGCCTCACGGCTGGAGACACCGGCGGGGGGAACCTTTCCCTCCATAATGTTGGACAAGGAAAAAGAGAGAACTGCAGATAGCTCAGAAGACTATATTGCAATAGAGGAAGAAATAAATTTAACTGCTTATTCTGCCCTTCCACAAAGGACAAGGTCTGATGCCACTACTAAGATGGCTACTGTGGAAACTTATTACAAAACTAAGTCTAGAGGTACTTCTATATTTTTTAGCAGGAATATGGCCATCTCTACAGAAAAGATAATGACGGATGATGACGGGAGATACATACTGTGGATTGGTAAAGTTAACAACGTTCTGTATACAATTGTCAATGTGTATTTCCCCAACACGGGTCAGCTAACCGTTTTTTTAGAAAAATAATGGATTTGGTGAATGAGAATATGAAAGGAACTTTGGTGATGTGTGGAGATATGAACTTTGTAATGGATGGTGACTTAGATGATGCAAGGGAAAATTTAGACAAACCCCATAGGAGTGACAGTGACAGTGAAAGGCTAGCAGTGAAATGTTTGAAATATATGGTTGAATGCGGATTGTATGACCCATGGAGATTAATGCATGAGAACGAAAGAGACTTTACTTTTTACTCAGTATCTAAGAACATGTATTCCAGGCTGGACAGGTTTCTGATACAGGGTGCTCTCATACCGCACATCTCAAGATCTGATATTTTAGATATCCCATAACTTTGCATATTGATGAAATGGTTTCTTCCTCCCCCAATAGACACTGGAAACTGAGTGATTATTTATTAGACGATCCTGAAAATAGATCGCTAGCTGAAGGGGTATTGAATGACTATTTTTTGGAAAATGTTTCGCACGAGGTTCCTGGTGAGGTGACATGGAATGCGCACAAGGCTGTGTTGAGGGGTCATTTCATTTCCAGGGCTTCTCACTTGAAGAGGAAAAACAATAGCAATTTACGAAATTTGGAAAAAAAACTGTACAACCTAATTCAGGCAAATATATTTGGCCCATCCTCCTCCCTGTCAGCGATGATAGAGGAGATTAAATCAAAAATACATAAAATAAACTTGGATCGAACTACTCTAATGGTGAGACGCCTCAAGAAAATGTTTTATTTAAAGGGTAACAAGGCCTCAACTCTCCTGGCGTCCAAACTCCGGCATGTAAATGCCCGTTCTAAAATTGCGTACTTAATAGATGACCAGGAACAAAAAATATTTCACCCGACTAAGATTAGCGACCAATTTGCAAAATACTATAGTGAACTTTATAACTTGAAATCTGACTCAAACACCCAGCCGTCTGAGGCGACAATTAATGATTTTTTAGATAAGGTTTCGTTGCCCCGGCTGTCCTCTGACAATTTGGTAAAATTAGAGTGTGATATATCTGAAGCAGAGATAGCCGAGGCGATTAAACATATGCCATCTGGAAAGGCCCCTGGTCCTGATGGATTCACCATTCCCTTTTCAGAAATTTTACTTCTCCATATGTCCAAATTATTTAACTCCTATAAATCCGGGGGTGAAGATGCCAGGGAGTCTTTATCCACACAGATTGTCACCTTGCCAAACCGGGTAAAACTCCTGACAAATGCTCTAATTTTAGGCCCATATCCCTTATTAATAACGACACGAAAATTTATTCCAAAATACTAGCGAACTGTTTAGCTAATCTAATACCTTTATTGATCAAAAATTACCAGGTGGGCTTCGTACAAGGTAGACAAGCACCTGATGGAACGATACGGTTCATTAACTTAATTCAACATATCAATTCAACAAAATCTCCTTCTCTGCTTCTCTCACTGGACGCAGAGAAGGCATTCGACAGGGTACATTGGGGATATCTATGGAAGACACTGAGCAGATTTGATATTCCACAATCTTTTATTACTGCGATTAAGGCACTATATAGTACACCCAGAGCTCATGTGTCTGCCTCGGGTTTCCAATCTAGAACGTTTTCTTTAACTAATGGAACGCGTCAGGGCTCCCCCTTATCTCCAATTCTTTTTGTCCTGGCGATGGAACCCCTGGCCGAACTAATTAGAAAGACCCCAGAAATAGAAGGTATTAGCATAAAAGGATCCACCTATAAAATAGGGTTATTTGCAGATGACTTCATACTAGCACTCAAAAACCCAAAGGACTCTCTGAAATCTCTCAATACTATTCTACTCCTGTTTGGGGAAGTGTCTTACTATAAATTAAATATATCTAAGACCCAGGCCCTACCTTTCCACTTGCATAAGTCTGACATGGAGGAATTAAGACTAACATATCCGTTCGACTGGAGGAGCGATTACTTAGAATATTTAGGCATTAACCTACGCAAGCATTTGCCTGATATGCATATTCATAATTTGAAGAGAGCATGGCCGGACCTACAAAAGGAGATGGAGAGATGGGGTGGTATTGAGTTATCATGGTTAGGAAGAATTGCCTCCATCAAAATGTCAATCCTCACAAAAATCTTGTACTATTTCAGAACTATCCCTCTACCTGTTCCAATGTCCTTCTTTAACAAAGTACATTCAATAATGCTAAAATTTATTTGGAACAACAGACCCAGCAGAATTAGGCTTGCATCCCTGCAGCATCATAAATTGCATGGGGGCATTGGAGTCCCAAATTTCAGAAAATACTACTTTGCAACTAACGCTGCAGCGGCTGTAAGCTTTAATAGTCAAAGAAATAAGCCGAGGTGGACAGAGATGGAGGAATCCACCATTCTCCCTTTCCACCTGGAGTAAATAAAATGTTTCTAACTACTAAGACCACACTCCATGCCTGGGATATAGTATTTAAAAACAACTGTCACTTGACGAAACTATACAGAGCCATGCCAATTGAATCTTTAAAACATTATATCCCAACCTTAGACTTACCATCACTTAAAGGACACAGACTGTATCACATAGACAACTTTTTCCAAGGTAATCCTATTCTGTCGTATGACAGATTACAATTCAAGCATAGACTGTCGACTGAATGCAAGGACGAATGTGAGTTGGTGATTGAGACACTAAAAGAAGTATACAATATACCAGAAACCGATAAATTATAATGCACTAGCATTATCACCATTAGAAAACCTATTTTTGCATGATCCGGATAGGAAGGGCGTCATATCTATCTGTTATATCTTACACAACGATAAACCAACAGCTAAACTGAAACATATGCTATCTTGGGAGACGGAGCTGGTTACCCAATATAAGTTGGAGGACTGGTTCACTTTTTTTTCAGCGTTGACGGGTCTATCTTTCTGCTCCAACCATCATGAAAATCATTTTAAAATTCTGAATCGATGGTATCAAGCTCCGTCTAAACCGCACAATATGAACAATAGGTACAGCGATAGGTGTTGGAGAGACTGCGGAGGACTGGGCAATATGGCCCACATATGGTGGTATTGCCCAAGACTAGCTAAATATTGGAAAATGATATATGACTTAATTATTAAAGTGAACGCCAACCTTGATCGGTTTACATCTGAATTGGCTCTATTTAAAAAATTCCCTGAATCCGTCAGTAAAATAGATAGAATAATAGTAGGCCACATTCTGATAGCTGCTACTACATGCCTGCCTAGATATTGGAAAACTAAATGCACACCCTCAATTAAAGAAGTACTAACACTAACAATAGAAAACAAATCATATGAATTATCATATAGAAATAACACACAGATATTTGCACAATTAAAATATTACTGGGATCAATGGGAAACCAATGTCAAAAAAACCTATAACCTGTAATAACTTGTTATGAACTGTCATTCAATTTATGTGCCTTGTACATCACCATACTTGTTGTTATAATGGATGGAACCCCCCCTTTTATTCTCACTTCCAAGTTCTTCCCTTCCTCACCCCCCCCCCCATTATAATGTTTTTATTACTTGTAAAATTTGCAAAACTTACAATAAAAATTATTTGAACAGAAATAACTTTCGACTTTCTTTTTCTTTCTTTAACACATTGTCGACATATGTGATATGATTTGGCTTTTGCACAAGCCTAACAATGTTAATTTATCATGCGATCTGCCATTTCAAAAAAATTAAGAATTAAAAAATAAATTAAATAAAGATTTTATGGAAATAAGTTTTAAAATATATATATATTTCTTCTAGTATCTATTTTCATGTATGTTTTTATATCGTCTAAACGTGTTTCTCAAAGCCTCTCTAAGAAGGAAGGACATTAGTATGTAAGCAGGTTTGTCAAGAGTAACATAATAACACAACAGTGTATCTATAAAAGACCAGAACACCAACTCTAGAACATTGAACTTGAGAATATGGATATGGATCTCTAACATTAACCTTCATATGGCTCAGTTTGCAAAGACCCACATGTCTATTAGTGTTACGGAAGCCGGGGGGGGGAAGCTGAAAATAGACAAACTTTCTTGAAGCCCTCCCACACAACATCTTTGTTGCATCGAATATCTTAAGCTCCTGTACTTCACCGGCCAGGAGTCACATTAATGTTTTACTCTTGCACATGAATAAGAGTACAAGATCTGTGGGGGATCCCGCAAGATCACAGAGTCATCCATAGGCCAATCCTTACATTATACAAGACCATGCCATCTTTACAACAGCTGCGTGGACAGCTATGTTTTTCCACTGGAGGCTTTGAACATAACACAAAAGTAGAACCTACTTCTTGACAAACTAGCAGTTTGTCTTATTATTTATTATTATAAATAGCTTGTGGAGGTTAATAAAATACCCTTTTTAGTCTAATTAGAGACTTTGCCTTTTAGTTGAAAGCAGCAAAGTGAATTGTTAGTGTAGGACTTATATAAAAGGTTTGCCTTGAGACAGCAGGTGAGTTTACAATTCAATGGT